GGTTGACAATATGCCCTTAAGGGGCTATGAAAATAATTTAGTTCGCCAGGCAAGACAGCGAACCAAAATGGGAATTTCAGGCTTACCACAGAAAAGCACCTCAGGAATTAACGTGATTTATACTGCGGCACCCACTGCACAAAGCCAACCAGCGGCAAAGGCCAGAGAAACGGGGAACGGGCTTTAAACGCAGGCGCGTCTCCACGTCGGCTGCCGGGCCGGCATCCCTGCGGCGAGTGCCCAGGCTCAGCGGGATGCTCGGCCTGGGGAAGCAGCCGTCGCCAGCACCGAAGAGAGCAAATCCCACCTCCCCAGAGGAAGATTAGAGATGAACTGTGACTCACGGGCAACAAACATCCATTAGGACCTGCTAGGGCCTTGGAGAATTACCACGTTCCTCCGTGCCGGCTCACACTCCGCGCCCAGGCTCTTGGATGCAACCGGGAAGGTAACCAAGCCTTTGCGTTCGGTGGGAAGGATGTGCTCCCCGTTAGCTGGAGAAACCCCAAACCCAGCAGCGCGTCGGTTCCTTCCCTCCCACCCAGGTGGGAAAAAGAGTATCCCACTGCCACAACTCACATCCAGATGAATGCCAGGAAGCCAAACCCCACGGGGCACCCCGGCATGAGGGACCTGCGCTGAAAAAGTCACCTTCAAAGCAGCAGGGAAAGAAGCAGCGAGTATCTGTAAATCTCAGGCAGGGAGACAAGTTGCATTTATTAATTAAACAATGAGGATCGATGCCTGAGACATTTCCTGTGGATTAATGATGGGCTGGGAGGAGCCGATGGCCCGAGGTGCAGCTAAGGACTATTAACGCCAACTGGTCATTAATCCCCAGGAAATGCTCCATGCCAAAGTCGTTAAGTGCCTGCATATATTAATGGATAATAATAACAACAAGAATATTTGTACAGGCTCTTTCCCACCTCCCGGCCTCGCTAGAGCCATGCTGAGGGCTGGTGGGAGCATCGGGACACCCCACTGGAAGCCCTCCGCCCCAAGCCCAGCCGAGGTGGGGACATCAGGGCACCAGTTCTGGGGTCTCGGGCATCGCGTCGCCCCGGCAGCAAGTACCCATTGGGACGAGGGGATGCAAGGCAGCCCTCCCTGTCGCCGGGGGCCGCGCAAAGCTCCTGCTCTGGTGCAGGCTCTGTGAGACGGCTGCGGTGCTGGAACATCTACTCACCTCCCAGGGACACCGCAGAGCTTAATTAGGTGCTTCCCTAACGGGCTGGGAGAGGATGTTTGTTCCCGTACCCTGTACGGCACGTGCCCGCAGTAAAGAGGCAAGAGACCCCTGGCAGCAGAGCC